ACTCTGTCTCTGGTGAAGCCTCTCACCGCCCCTGAGCCTCTGGCCTGTACCCCAGTTCTGTATGCACGAATAAATAAATCTTTAAAAAAAAAATACAAAATAAGTGAATTTGGGGTGTTAAAACCTCAAGCTTTGTGTCTCTTGAGGACTCTTCTCACCTCGTGCCCTTCTCCTGCCTGCAAGGGCCCTCCCTGCATTCCCATAAATGACCCAATCCAATCAAGCAGAAGGATAATTTCCACCTGTTCCAAAACCAGGTCTCAGAGAGGAACATTTTGAACAAATGATGAATGAACACGGTTTTACATTTCCAAAGTATTCTAACTCTACCACTAAGCCCTAAACAGCGTTTATCTGCTGTTCAAGGTTGGGGGAGAGAGGACCTGGTGGAATGTTCTGGTCATCAGCAGTGCCTAACTTTATGTGACCAATGCTGCCTGGCCTCCTTTTGAGACCGAAGCCTTCATGGAATTCTTCCTTTGGGAAGTGCTTGGGATTCCTTTGGGAATGTGCTGATGCCCTTCCCCGCCTTTTGCACCCACCCCAGAGCAGGGTACCGTCATTGCCACACTGTGCTTCTGCTGGCTCTTCCTGAACAGACACAGATTTGGGGGCCTTGGAAGACTAGGCCCTTTTGCCGACTCTCAGCTGTCTGTCAATTTAAGTCCTTCTGGCTCGAGATATGAGGATTATGGTCAACAACCATTATGAAACATTTTGACCTTATTATGAAACATTTTGACCTTATCTTACCTGAAAAATGAGCAGGAGAGACTGTTAGATTTCTAACAACCCTTCCAACACTGAACTCATTAATGATGATAATAGTGTTGATAATTACTATTTATTAGAACACACATGTGTGTGTTCGATGCAGTGTTACCCACCTCGGAAACACTGAGGAGAAACTACGTTAGCTTGATCGACTTGCAACCAGCTACCCGGCTAGTTAAACATGCTTCTCCAGAGCTCTGTCAAGTAGAGTGACCAATACCTGAGGCTGGCAGACCCACTCCTCCCACTCCAACCCCTCTCCACTCATCCTGCCTTGTTTAGTCAGGAAGCAGTTTGGGACATCTGCGTTTGAAGTATAATGAAATATTAACTGACTGAAGAAACATGAGCATACAAAGAATGGAGGTTGCTTCCAGGAAAGATAGTCTGAATGTTTTGGAAAGACTCGGCAGGGAAATCTGCATAGAAAAAATGCCGTCTAGGTAGAATGAGTGTGGACAGGAAGAGCTGAGACCGCTGAGTGATCTGGAGCGATCATTGTAGCAGCAGTGATTCTGGGAAGGTCTCTAAGTTCTCACTGCTTTGATAGAAAGCTGAACTGGAACCCAGAGAGGAGTCTGTGTAGCTCCTGCAAGAAAGACAGCTCAAAACGCACCAACTAGTGGCCCCATGTTCTGAAAAGGGCCCTGGCCCCACATTAAGGATGGGGACTTCTCCACTCAGGTGAGATGGAGTATTTGAAGCATGTCTCAGCCTTTCCCATCCTCTGCTTTAACCCACTACTTCTCTAATGAATGCACTAAGTTCCAGAACCAGTCTCTCAAACGGGGCCTTTCTAGTTCTTTCTTGACTCTGCTCTAGTCTAGGAAGGTAGAATTAAAAAGGAGAAATCAGAGTTTACAGTAATGCAAACTACTCGCCCTCCACTCCCACCCAAAACAGAAACTAAGTGCACTGGACTATGGTGATGGCACACGGGTGACTCGGTGATGGGATTACAATTGAGATTTAAAAAAAAGTACAAAATGATGTAAAAATAAACTTATATTACAAAAAAAAACCAGAAACAAACAAAAAACCCCAACTCATCCAAAGTCAAACAGCTAGTCATGACAGAGTCCAAAATCTACACCCAAGGTCAGTGTTCTGGGCCTCACTGGAGCCTGGTCGCATCCTGGAGCACCAGGTAAGGACAGTGCGGACCCACTTCAAGTTTGAAGTTTGAAGAGTCAGTTTCTTCCCTGCAGTCCTCCCCATCCCACTGGGCTCTGTGGCTTCGTGGAAAGATCTGTCTAGGGGACACAGATGGGCTGATAGGGATTAGCTGTCAACGTTTGGGGAACAAACTTGGAATCACGGTCAGCATCGCCAGCTCCAGTTTTACAGAGACTTACGGTCCTCTGGTGCCAGTGGTCCAGGTGACACTGCAGAGGGGACTGGGGGCACCGTCGGGGCAGAGCGGCCCTGGCCCTTACCTACGCGGCGGCGCGGTCACGTGGCGCGGCGGGCGGGGTGAAGCGGGGCGCGCGGCTCAGCACTGCGTCCAGGTCCCGGGGCTGCAGCCAGAAGGGATGACTCGGCTCAATTTCCCCAGCTCTGGATTCCTAACGGAGGAGAAAAGAAATGAGAAGGTGATGTCGGGCCTGTTCAGGAAAGCGAGTCAGCAGTGTTGGAAAGTGAGAACTCTATGCGGGGGGGGGAAAAAATCAAAGTTTAGATAGAATTGGCGTGGGGAGGGCATTACCCTCCGGCTGGGTGGTTGTCGGTGTGCAGAGCAACATTTGCGCTCTTTACTTCGTCAAACGGTGCTGACGTGTTCCTCGCCCCCTGGCTGTTCTTTCCTGCACCCTTCTTCCCGGGGCGCTCCGAGTCTCACCCTCACTTTTTAAGAAAGGACTGAGAAGCTGAGGCTCGTGGCCCCGCACCATGTCCACCGGCTCGGCCCAGCACCGCGCCTCACTCTGCCACTAGATGGCGGCGTCGCTCAGGGGACGGGCTCCCCGGCACCGCCGCAGCTATGGGGCGCCCCGCCCCGAAATCCTGCTGGAGCAGATTTCATCCAAGGATGGGACGCGATGTTCCCTGCCTCTTTGTGACCGATGGGTACACCAAAAACTAGAGCTTTCATTAACCTCTGATGCCCCTTCCTGCTCAACAAACACCAGAGGTCCTGAAAGAACAAATTTAAACAATTTAAAAGGAGTTGTCGGTCAAGCAAAACAAAAACGTGGGAATGAGCAGCACCTGGGAAATCTGCTATCTCCCTCTCCCCATCGTTCCTCTTCCCTGCATTCTCTGATCATATGAATGGATCAATAATTGTTTATTGTCAGACCCATATCACGTAGCTGTTATGTCCTAAAAGGGAAACATAAAAGTTATATTTTCAAAGACGGAGGAGCTTAGTGTACGCTAATGGTAACATCATCAAATAGTTCATGTGGCAAACATTGGGGTGAATATTACACAGAAGTTCATGAGGTTCTTACAGCAAACCTGCTGGAACACCCTGCCAATGATCCTCACTTCAAGGATGGGGAAACTGAGGCACAGAGCGATGACCTTGTCAAAGGTTGTGCAGTGAGAAGTGGCAGTGTTATAATTTTTTTTTTCTAAAGATTTATTTATTTGTACATACAGAACTGAGGTACAGGCCAGAGATGCGGAGGGTGAGAGGACTCACCAATGACAGAGTGGGGAGCAGAACAGGCAGATCTATGAAGTACACTGCTGAGGGGAGCAGCGGGCGGGTCAGGAGAGGTCTGCCACGGCATGTGGTCACCTCCGGGGCAGGCGGAATCGAACTCATGTTGAAGTGGCTTTAGCTTTTCAGGGCTGTGCTTTAACCCGCTGGGGCCACCAGGGAGGGCCCCAGAAGCGTTATAATTTAATGACAGGCAGGCTAATGTCAGAGTGTAGACTCTTATCTGCGATGCGTCTCAGGGGGAAAGTTTGAGAAATCTAACAGGAGGCAGGTGGGCAATAGAAACCAGAGATGTCGGCGAGAAGAGAAAGAAAGTGACATTCCAGAGAAAATAAGGAGAATGAGGCTGAAACAGACTGTGTTTGGGCTGGACCTGCAAGGGCACCGCTGGTGACCCCTGGGAATGCAATTTTAAAGTTAGGTGTTAGATGGCCAAGCTAAGTGGTTATGTGGAAAAAGAAATTGAGATGCCTTGTTGCAAAAGGCAGGCAATAAATAGATGAGACAGCAAGGTCAAACAAAGGCATTTTGGTTTTCTTGTGAACTTTTTAAAATAGCATAAAGCTTTCGTATGTTTGCAAGCGTTTGCAAGGGTGATGCAAGGAGTGGACGGTGCAGGTCATGAAAAGCAGAAGAGGTGAGGCGGAGGGCAAGGGCTGGCTCTGGAGGTGAGGGAGGGAGATGCTCCCTGTTGTCTGAAACTGGGAGACAGCCACCGAGATGGAGGGATGGCAGCATAAATGAGAGAATGAGCAAGCATAATTCTCTCTCTCTTGTAGATTTGATTTTATTTATGCCTACAAGAATTGGGGTAGAACCAGAGGTGCTGGGGTGAGAGAATTCACCAAAGACAGGGTAGGGAGCAGAACAGGCTGATCTGCTGAAATACACTGCTGAGGGGAGCAGCCAGCGAGTCAGGGGAGGGCTGCTGCGCCCTGTGGGTCACCTTCCTGGCGGGGAGTCAAACTCGAGCTGCAGTGGCCTACAATAGCTTGACTTTAAGTGCTGAGCTTTAACCTCTGTGCCACCAGGGAGGCCCAAGCATTAGTCTTCCACATTAGCCTTAGCCTTCTCAATAAACCAGAATTGGGTTACTTGTTGAAAGTAACATATTCATATACTGAACTGGTCCATGTAGGGCTTAGAATGGCCAACAAGACAGGTAAAGTGAAACCAGCTAACAGAGGTAGCAAGCTGGAGGGGGAAGTCCACACTGAAGTGTAAGAGCTTCTTTACCAAACCCACTGTCTACGGAGCCTGAAACAGGCCCTGCCGTGGGAACCGGGACTCCATGACACCATGAGCCACTCCGTATGTCCAGTTTCTCCATATTCAGATTTTAAGACATTTGACAGAGAAAGAGCATCTTCTTCACTTGCGAACTGGGGAAACTAAAGAGCAGACAAGTTTCCCCATTTGATTGAAAGCCACAAGGAAAAGCAGGAGGCAGAACTAGAGTTAACACCCAGAGCCCTTTTTGATCCAGCACAAGGTCCAGAAAACTCTCCTCATGCAGGGCCTGGCCAGGGCTGATGGCCTGCAGCGTCCCAAACACAGAGTCCCATTTGTGAGGCACCCAAGACAAGGCATGATGCCAGAGAGGGAAGGTTCTTCTATCCTGGCCTTAGGCCCTGGGAACTAGGAGGGAGGTTTCTTTGATAATTCCATTGCAACATACTGATACACCGATGACATGATGTCATTAATTTTGTTAGCTTAACGACTCCATTTTTTTTCTCTATCAATATTTTCTCATTTTGAGAGGTCCATGGGACAGATACACCTGCAAAAATCAAAGAGGGGAATTACTCTGTCTGCACTGCTGATGAAAAGGGCAACAGATGGGACTAAATCAAGCAGCGATTTATTTTTGATTTGGACTTGGGAGGTGAGGACAAATGACAGTCACCATTCCAAAGGGTTTTGCATCAGGCTTTTTGGAGGAAACTCCTTCTCCAATTGTGCACTGTGTCATTGGGAAACTTGTCTCAAAGGCAGGATTTTAAGTTCTTTCCCTCTCATCTTTTTAGAAATACTTCCAGATCGGGCCAAACCCGACTGAATTTTCACTCCCCAAAAGAAAGTGGCTGCCTCCCCAGCCACACGTTGGGGATGAACACGGATATCCCACCCACAAAGGCATCCAGCAACTACGAAGATCTTACTCAGGCGAGCAGAATGCCGGACATCTGGCTGTGCCCTCGAGGAGAACAGCCAGGACAGCAGTGGAGACCTGGATCCGTGTCTAGAGGAATCAGCAGGAGACAAGGGCAGTAGAAGCAGACGCCAGTGTCAATACGGAACTCCTTTCTCCAGAGACTCTGGGGTGACGGCGCCATCCTGAGGCCTAGCCAGTTTCCTCCTTGTTTCTCTCACGTGTATCAACCTGCACTCGTGACCTACATGAATTCTATTATTAATCTAGAAGAACAAAGACACCCATGAGATGTCCTCCCAGATACTGGGATCATCGCCTAACCCACAGATCACTCATAATAACCCACAGATCACTCATAATAAGCTGGGAGCAAAAATAATTTCAAGCACTGTAGTAAGTAGCATGAGACTCCCTGAAAATGACTTGCCTCCCTTGACCCAGAAATCCCCACAAAATCATGCAAATCGAAAGGGTAAGGTATCCACGTGCACTTTCTGAACATCTATGAAACTCTACAGCCAAACGTGTGCATCTGTGCACAGTCTCTGAAAGTGCCATTTTTCAAGGGGACTTGCCGTTCTCATCACCACAGTTCTGGGGTGCATTGCCCAAACTGTGGAGCTAGACAGATCTGTGACCCCCAAGGAGTGCTGAGTTCTTCCTGCACATGCTTCCACAGGCAGAGTCGAGCTGAACTTGAAATGAGTCTTGTCACCAAGCACATTCAGAAGCACAGCGCCCCCAACATGAGCTCAGAGCCCTGAGAATAAATTCAGCAAGTAAGAGTTTAAAAAAAGGGAAAGTCGAGACGTAGACATCTGTCCTCTGAGACCTATCACCAGTGCTCCTGTTTCTAAAAAAAATAATCGTAAACTTATAGAAACATTTTGCCAGTGAGTTAAACCTAGTAACAACGAACTGGGTTGAACTGCAGCGTTAAAAAGAATCAGTTGTGTGCAGAAAATGCACTGTCCCTCTTACCTGAGCGAGGTGGGGCGTGGGACTCGCTGGTTCTGCAGCCTTCTGCCCTGGAACACATCCTGAGAGGCAGATGTAACTAATCCCGGAACTCTGCGGTCCTTTAAACCATCTGGCAGTGACGTAAACTGCATCTTGTCCTTGAAGATGAAACATAGAGTTTTATCACGAGAGGGAAATACATAATGTGGCTTTTTAGGCAAACTGTCTCTGATAGTTTCTAGAGATACGTGACAGGCTATGCAGTTTTGCAAATTGCGAAACTTCTCTAGTGAGTTTCCTATTTCTGTAAGGGCCGGGTGGGAGAGCTGTGTGCACTTTATGTTGAAGAGATGGCAGCGAAAGACAGTATCACCACCCTCGTTTGGTCCTTGTTTTTAACATCTCGTAGCATTCTGATGCTATTTATCATTTTATCCTCTCCAGCCTAGGGCTAGGGCACAGGAGATGGTTCTCATGTCTTGATAAGAAATAGGGCCAGCATTCATGGGGAACAGGCCCAAAGCCTCAACACTAGCTCAAATTTTTGAAAAGGCACAGAGGAGAATATAATTCAATGTATGTAAAACTGGAGCCAATTTTTTTTCCTGAAAAGAAACTCAAGAAATCATTAACAGGAGTCTCCTAGGAGGATAATAATTGGGTGAGAAGGAAGTTTTTAGTTCAAATGTATATTTGTGCTATATTTGAATTTTATTACCAAAAACAATTATTACTTTCAATTAAAAAAATCAATAGGGATTATCAGAATAGAAAGCTACATCTTCCCTCCCCTTACACTTTGAAGCATTAAAAAAAAAAATCTAAGAAATATCTTTAATTGCTATACAAGTCTCCCAGAAGCATACATTTAAAAAATGAGTGGCAGGACTTTGGTTTTTTAATAGCAATGAGGCTGGGGAGGGGAAGGAGGAGAAAGATCATCTTGCAGCCCGAGGGCGGAGTCCTCTCTGCACCTCTGTTCTCCATTCTTGCTTCTGAAACAAATGCTAAATTCATTTATCTCTTAGACAGCTAAGATCGTTGATCATAGAACAAGAGCGCCATTAATTTCGCTTTCCAATATTACTTCTCTAGTTGAGGGTGAACTCGGTGTTCCAGGGGTGTCCTTGTTTTAGTACCCAGCGACCTGTTAGGAAGCTGCTAATCCACGCAGCCTGCATCTCACAGAGCACAGTGGGGGTAGAAGAATAACAGTAACTGTCTTTCTCTCTTTCATTTTGATCCCTAGAGAAAAGAGAATTCCAGCTTCCGACTCGTTCCTGCAACATAAACCCCTGTGACAATAAAAGCAAAGCTGGCTTCATTGTTGCAGATTTTATGCTAGCAATTCCCTCCCCCAATGGATGTTTTATTTAGGCTGCACATGCATTCTCCCAAAAAGGGATGAAAAGAAAGAGTTGTCTTTGATGAGCAGAAATGACATTTAACATAATTAAGTAACATAGCAACCCCAATCTACAATAGAGTGACATTTATCTTTCAAAAAAAAAAAAAAAAGAACTACTTGTATTTCTTTTAAAAATTCCCTTCAGGGACGGATGGAGGAGGAGGGCACTCTGCGTGTTATACATTTTAAATTTTACAGAACATTTTCAACTTTTGGAGTTTGGCGTTTTGAAACATACCTCTGTTCCAACGGCAAGGGCATCAGGCCTTGATTTTGATTACAAGTTTACACATTTTGTTTATAAGTCACACACATTCCATTCTTCTAACACATGAGAAAAAGGTTATAACTACTGAACTTATTCCAGACCAACGTCTTCTTTCCATACATCAATGCAACAAATACTCTTTCCTACCTTGCTGAACTTCTGTTTGGAGACTGATTCTTTAGAGTCTGTACTTGTTTGCTTCTCACCTTTGCTGTGGTTGCCATTAAACAAATATTTACCTATTTGATAAATATTTCTTGAGTCTCCTCAGTGCCAGGTTCTCTGGCCAACACCAGGCATAGGGAATATAAAGATAACATACAAAGCAACATGCAGAGTCCCTGACTCAAAAAGGTCACCAGCTGGCAGATCATGGGCTCCTCTGTCCAATGTCCACTGAGATATGTGCTCTGTGCACCAGAGCCAGGCAGGAGAGACAGCTGGGACAGAAGCTTAGGAGAACTCACTGAAGGGTTTGCAAATGCTGGTGGGCGGCTGCATTTGAGGGTCTCAATAGATACTGAGTGCCAAGCATCCTGGCCTCCTTGCTCTGTCCTGGCCCTGAACAGGTTGATTTTCCTTGGCATGCAAAGCAAGATCATTCAAAATTATTTTGCATGTGACAATACAGAGACTTGAATAGAATTACACAGGTATTAAGTGATAGACACAGACCCTCAGCCTAAGACACTGGCTTCCAGCTTCCTTAATGATGGTAGAGGTGATAGTCAGGGTTCTTCAGAAAAGCACACACACACACACACACACACACACAGTGAAAGAGAGAGAGAGAGAGTGTATGTGTGTGTAGGGAAAGAAAGACATTAATTTTTTAAGAAAGTGGTTCACATAGTTACAGAGGCTGGCAAATCCAACATCTCACAGGGTAGGTCAGCAGGTTAGAGCCCCAGGGAAGTCTGAAGACCAAAGGCAATCTTTGCTCAGGGAAGGTCAATCTTTGCACTATTAAGCCCTTCAACTGATTAGATGAGGTAACCTACCTTTCTCAAAGTCCACCTACTTAAAGGTAAAACTTATTCAACAAACAGCTCTACAGAAACATCTAACATGATTTCTGACCAAAGTCTGGTCACTGTGGCCCACTGATAGATAAAATTAAACATCACAATATACAGGGCATTAGCATCTCAATTGTGTGTTTGAAGACCATGTTCTTCATTGTTCACTTTTGCAGGTCAACTTAAACGTCCCTGCTTTTTTTTTTTAAACGTCCCCTCTTTTATCAGGATTTTCTTCTGTTCCCCTCCCTACCTCTGCTCCAATGCACACCTTTCTAAGATCCCTTGAAGAAGCTTCTTCATTGCTCTCTCCACCTCTTTTCCCAAACCTCCCAAAAAATGACATGTGCTGGGGTTACCTGTCAGGAATGCCAAACCCATTGACCAGCTCCTTACTATGAACAGAATAAGTGCCTCAGGTTGGAAGCCCCTACTCTCAGAATATACAGATCTACAGCAGGCATCCCCAAGTGAGGACCTCAGTCCATGGTGAACCCCCAGTTCCCCTAGTCTCCACCTAATATGGCTGTAGACTGCTTGAACTTTCCCCTCCCCCGACTTCCTCAGACAGCCTCTTCTTCCCTTCTGCTGTCTTCCCTATTCACGGGCACTCGTCATAATTTCTTTCATGTTCAGTGTTCTATTTTTCATGCCTAGGAGTACCTACCCCTGCTATTAGCACCCTCTTTGACATTCTTCCCAGGCTTGTCCAAACCAGATGGAAGTAAAAGATCTGTCAGACCAAACCACCTGGTCATTTTCTCCCCATGCACTCTGTACTCCTAGATAATAAACTTTATCGCTAACAAATTCAGATTCAATTAGAAAGCAACCTAACCCTCTGACCCTGGTTGTGAGCCTGTGGAAAACAAGGCCTGTGTTCCAGTCTTTGCAGGCCTTCCCTCCACACCCATGACCCCCACCCCAACCTGGGGCACAGGTGGTGTATCATTCTGCTTAGTGCTGGCTGCTGTAACAAGTGGTCATAAACTGGGTGGCTTAGCAACAAAGATTTATTTCTTGTCGCTCAGAAGATTGGGAAGCCCCAGGTTAAGGTGCCAGCAGCTATGGTGTCTGGTAAGAGGCAGATTCCTGGCTTGCAAATGGCCACTTTCTCCCCTGTGTCCTCACATGCCTGAGAGAGGAAGCAAGCTCTTGAGTTTCTTCTTGTAAAGTGCATTAATCCCATTTGTGAGGGATCCTCCCTCATGATGCAATTGCGAAGGGCCCCGCCCCCTAATACTGTCACAGTGGGGATTAAATGTCAACATACAGCTTTCAGGGAGAAACAAATATTCAGTCCATAGAGTGGACTTTAAAAATGAGTCCTCCATTCTCAGCATCTTTACAGTCATCAGCACGTTTTCGGTGTTTTGTTTTACTTTAACAGAGTAAGCATTTGTGTCCTTCACCACACTTGAATTTAATGCTACAGAAGCAAAATGGGAATCACAATGAGCTAGCTCGCAAAAAAATATTTTTTCTTATTTCCCAGCAGCTCATTCAATGCAAACTAGTTTAAGAAAATAGATATCTTGTTAAGCACCGATTTCATTGGTGTGTTTGCACAGGGAGGGGGTAAATTGTTTATGACAATAGACTTTCTCCTCATTGTCTAAGAAATGGTCACTCCAGGTAACATCACGAGGAAATGCAAATGGGTAAGTGGGTGACCCTCTTCAGACTGGGAAAATCTCACTATAACAGGTTCTTCTCTTCACTGTTGATGGTAATGTGGGAGCGGCAGCACGCAGTGCAGCACTGTTGAAGCAGCGTCCCTGTCTGTGACTGTGGCACCTGCTTCGTCATGAAGGCAACTGAAATGCTTTCCTCCGCCCCCACCACCTGCCCTCTCCACACACTCACACACGCACATCCCACAGTATGCCTAAGTGTATAGTTAGGATGCTTCTTGAGAGGGTGTCCTGGAGGAGTTAGTGGCCTGAAATGCTGAGGTGATTTTATAATGGCATTTGCTCCAAACAAGTCCACAAATGGACCTGATGCATCACAACAGCCCAGTGCTAACCCCACACTTAGCACTTGTGAAATTCACCTTGCATTGAATTGAATGGCCAAACGTGAATCTCCCAGTCATTTGGAACCAGGAACAAGTCATTTCTTCCTCTTCTTGTTGTTTCCTGGCAAGGACCTGCTGTCTAAGGTGTTTGTCTTCATCGTGTGATTTCACGACACAACTCAAGCTCAGATTGAGAGCAATTTGGTGAAAATATTTTAGGCAAGCGCAAGCAAAGTCAGCATACTGAGTGGAAAATCTTATCTTCTCAAAAGATCTTAGTGGAAGTCTTTTGTGATATATCTTTCCTCCTTCCTCTCTTCGAACCCAGGTATCATTCTTCTTCCACGTAAAATGTGTAAAAATTAAAATCAGATGAGTACCACATGCCCAAACAGAACAGAGGTTTTTCCAGTCGATGGTGTCTGTACCGCTGTAATCAAAATAAGCATTGGCGCCGGGAAAAGTTGCAAAGTTGGAGGCCCTAGAGTCCAGGTGAGACGACTGAAATGTAGTGAGATCCTGGTCAGCAATAAGAGAAACTCACCCTGGGTAAATATGTTCCTTGGCAAGGTGTGTGAAGCCCAAGAGACCAAAATGCAAACGAATGAAATTCGTTCATTGAAAGGTGTTTGTTTTTATTTTATTTTTAAATCAATTCATTTATTTATGCATTTATATTGTTGTTCATTTTAACACAATGTGTACTTCCCCCCTCATTTGTAGACCCGTAGAATTCCCCCCCAACTCACCCCTGCACCATCACCACAGTCCCCTGTGCACCTCCTTCCAGTCCCTCTCCCTCCCCCTCCCCTGCAGTATGTCTCTGGTTTATAATTGCTTATTTTTGTTTTGTTTTGCTTGCTATTATTTCCCCCCATGTCTATTTTTGTTCCCCTATATTCCTCCTATAAGTGAAACCATCTAATATTTTCCTTTTGCCTACTGATTATTTCACTTATGATCCCTCCCAGCTCCATCCATGTTGCTGCAAATGGCATGAGTTTATCTTTTTTGATTGCCGAGTAGTATTCCATTATATGTATGTATGTATATGTATATATATATGAATACACACATACACACACACACACATACCATCTTTTTGATCCAATTGTCTATTTTTGGGCATTTGGGTTGTTTCGAGGTTTTTCATATTGTAAATAGTGCTGTATCTTTTTGAATTAGTGTTTTATGTCCTTTAAGAGTTGGTTGTTTTTAAGGAAATATGAATGAAGAATCACTGATTTTATTTACTTCCAAGTATGGACACTGGAATTTTCTAAAAGAATGGAGGTCCCCCTTATTTTTACTCAATAAGTTAACTAACCAGTAATTTTCCCTATTAACAACTTTTCAGACACTCTGAATCATTATCATCCTACAGCATTTACAAAGTGCTTATTTTGTTCCTTACCTAGGAATAAAAAGATTGACGAGAAATTTTTGTCTACACAGAGTTTATCATCAGGAAGAGAGATAGATCTACAAGCCAGTACTGTGTGAGGACTAGAATGTCATAAATGTAGCCAGAGGAAATATAAAGGTGAAGGGGGAGAGCCACAAGAGAGGTCGGTCTTCATGGGACAGTCAGAGATCCAAGCATCTGAGTCATTTTCATCGAAGACTTCTCCAGAACCAGCATTTTCTGGATTGATTGTACTTTCAGATGTGTATTCCCTTAGTTCCAGCTGCAAGTGTTAACCACTCTTTAATTAGACTTTGCATTTCAATGGCAGGCTTGTCCAATGTCCACCATCACCATGATCTCTCGCTTATGGTAAGGCAAAGGGGAAATATTGATTTTCTAGTTTCCTTCACCATCACTCACTGGTTCTGGGCTCCACTGACATACAACTGTACATGAGATTAGGAAGTGAGTAACTATCGACTTGTGATCACCAGCTTCTGGATTCACTCCCTCCAGGTTTTAGATAAATGAAGATGAAGTAAGAAATTCAGTTACTTCACCTTTTAACTGGTGGTCAGGATTAAGATTGTGCTTAAGAGACTGTGAAATCAATTCAGTGGAATTTAACCAGCTTTTTTTTTTCTAAAGAAATAAAACAGGAAGTATTAGAATGACTTCATCTAGGATGACAAAATTGTTTGGTAGAGTGTTTATTGCAGTTGTGCATGTGTGTTTAATCACAACAACAAAAATGCCTGACTTACTATGTCACAGTCAGAAAG